TTTTATGAAATTATTTAAATATACTTAATAAATCTTTCTTATTCATTAAAAGTATTTTAATTTTTTTATTATCATTTTTGACATTTTAATTGCAAACCGTCTTGATTTTTTCTTCAATAACAAAACAAATTCAAAATAAGATTACTTAAAAAAGGTGAAAAAGGAACAAGAGAATAGTTATTGCCACTAACAAGAATATTACTGTCACACAAATTTTTTAGTATTACTTTTAAAAATATTAATTTTATTTGATTTAATTATTAAAACAATTAATAGTTATAATTATTAGCTAATAATTGATTTTTTTTTTGGCAGGAATGTTAATTATACAAAATGATTTTTTTTTTTGTTTCCCATCCGGTATCCGGGGTTTCGCCCCGACTAATCCAGATCGAGCTGCGTCACGCACCTGAAAATAGTGGGTGAGTCTCCCAACGGAGGCTGCTGCATTCACAAAGTCTCGAACTCGAAACCTTGCTTAAACTGGAACAAGCCGCTTACCACTTTATCCAACTCCTAGTTGGTAATTATACAAAATGATGAATTCAAAGAATTATTGCTTTACGGGTTCTTGTTCCTTTTGTGGATACATTATTGTGCTAGAGCTAATCATCTTCGTCATATATATCATTCACGTCTTCTCTTTTTTGTCATGTTAAGGGCTAGGAACTGTGTATATACAATTGAATCTCACAATACTTCTCTTTTTTTATTAGTTTTGTTTTAGGTTATCTGTTGTAATGGCTTTCTTTACAAAGGTTGGGAACACTATTGAAAAGAAGTTATTTTCAGCACCAAACACTGAAAAATGTTGATGAAAAATAATTGGTAAAATACCAAATCAACCCCTCAAATAAGAGGGTAAGGACAAACATATCCTTAAAAAAAACGCATAGATAAATTGCCCTCTAAATTATCAATCAAGATAAATTGTGCAATGTCCTTACACGTCAACTTTCTATAAAAAAATGCTTATGAGGCAAACAAATTTTTGAAGTATAATAACGTCACATATTAAATAATAAGTGAGCTTCTGGTGGGATGAGTGATGTGGGGAGAACTGCTTGGCTAATAAATTCCCTAGATTGTACATCTTGTCTACAGGTAAGGACAATGAATGCTTTCAAATGGGAAGGGCCATCAATGGCACATGGAGATGGAACTTGTCATGGAGAAGAACCCTGCATCAGTGGGAAGATGAGACTGCAAAAGATCTTCAAAAAATGATTGAGAAAGTGATAATAACCCCAGGGAGAGCTGACAAATGGGAGTGGATACACAACACCGACGGAGAGTACTCAACGGCATCAGCTTACGCAATATTAACAAAACAAAGGAAGGAAGAGGAGGAAGCAGAAATGTACAAAAGAGTATGCAATCCTAACATTCCAACTAAAGTAACGGCTTTCAACTGGAAAGTACTACTTGATAGAATCCCAACCAAGCTAAATTTGCTTAAACGTGGGGTCTTAAAGGAGGAAGAAGAAAGGAAATGTGTTCTGTGTGAAGAGGATGAGGAAGACTCCAGCCACCTATTCTTAAAATGCAAAATAGTCAAATGGCTGTGGAAAGCTTGCGCAAACTAGTGCGGCATCAAAGTAGAATTACAAAATGAATGCAGGAAGACGTTTCAGCTTTTTGGCGCATGGACCAAAAAGGCACACAAAAGAGAAGGGTGGGACTGTATTTGGAACTCAGTTATATGGTCAGTGTGGATGGCACGAAACAAAAAAAATCTTCGACAATGTAGAGGTAAACCTGATCAAACTTTTCGAACTTATTCAATTAAGATCATTTACATGGATAAAAGTTAGGAAAGGCAAGTGTTATTTCAATCTGTCAAACTGGTTAATTAACCCTACCTCATGCCTTTCTAGAGTGAAGTAGGAGGGATTTGAAAGATGGTAGTAACACTAATTGTGCTTATTTCCGTACACTGATGGGTTTGGTTGAAGTTCATGTAAAAGGGTTTGAGTACCCCTTGTACTCAGGATAGTAATGGAACTTTTGCTGTTCAAAAAAAAAAAAGGATAATTTGTCCCTCATTTTTTTTTTTTTTTTGAGAGATAGATTTGTCCTCACTCTCCTATTCGAGAGTTAGATTTGGGGTTTCTATAATGTAGAAAATGTGCTTAAAAAAGTTAATTATTTGTATTTTTTAGCATTGATTGTGGAAAATTAATAAATAATAAGTAACGGCAAACCTATAATATAATTTTAGTCGTTGTTGTTACCCATTTTGTGAAGCGTTCAGCGCTTGGATTCTTACTGCATATTGACCACCCTCCTTCCTAATCGATGGACGTAATTAACAAGTGCTTGCACAAGCAATTCAGGGCCACATATATGGCGTATTGTTCTCATCTAAGTCGACATTTAATATGGTACCAACTAATTCTCCTAATAAGTTGCCCTAGGATCATTCATCCCATTTTTAGATCCAAAAATTGAACCCAAAGAGATATTTAGAGTCTGTTTGGTATAACAATTAAAATTCAGTGGATATGAAAAGGTTTTGAAATCCTTCCCTTGGGTGATAACATCTTTGTGTTTGCCTTTATGTTTGTGGATGAACAAGAATGTGATTGGGTGTTAGTGAAAACTCCATGGGCCTTTAATGATAAAAACCTCCTTGTTTTATCTCAATATGATAATCAGAAGGCTGTTGGAGAATTAGAGTTCTTTAAGAGTTCATTTGATATAACGGTTTGAAAATAATGGTTAGTAGTTTTGCCTAAGAACTAATTATAAGAAGAAATAAAATTTTAATTATCATTCATATAGTACGGGTATTTGATAAAACTTAAAAATTTGAAATTTTAATAGAGAGAAATTTAATAATTTGACTTTTGTAGCAACTTTTAAGCAAAATTTGAAAAAACTATATATCCAAACTCTTTTAAACTCACTTAAAAGTATCAAATTTTTTAAAAACTTACTTAAAAACATATTTAAAAGTTAATTTTAAATTTTTCTCTAACAAAATTTTAAATTTGTGAAAGATATTGCTTTTTTGAGGCAAATGCTCGTTTTGTTTTGCCAAACATCCTCACTATTAGAAAAAAAAAAAAAACTACATAAAGAAATGTTTATAGAAATCAAACAACTTATATTTTAAAACAAAATAAAAATTAACTACAGCATCGTACGTTTTGTTATCGAGAACACAAATTAGGCTAACAAACGATAGGGCATGGACCATTGTTGTCCTTACTTCTACCTAATCCCGTACATCTTTAAAGTCCTTTGATAATATTAGATAGGACCCTGATTGGTACACACCCGGATCCAACACCTGGGTGTGCACCTCCATATAAAAAAAAAATGGACCGGGTGGGTGATGGGCGTTTTTTTTTTTCAAAGGGGAGTGTGCACACCCGGGTGTTGACCCGGGTGTGCACATATCATTTTCCTATTAGATAATATTTCTTTGTTTTAAAGGTGAAAACAAAGCTAGTGGAATTTTAAATTTTTTAGAAATATACCTGCCTATAGAATCTCTTCCTCCATCCTTAGTAGGTGTCTATTTTTTTTTTGTTTTTCTTTTTATAAATCAAAAATATTATTGATTAGAAATACAAGGGTACTCCACCCAAAATAAAAGTTACATCCACACAGCTAACATACTCTTATGTTCACAATATTACAACTTCAGTTTGGACTGATCATAATGTTTAACTCATGCAACACATTAATCTTCATAATTCCTTGACGCAAAGATGTGGGATTGAGTACCAGTAGTGAAAAGGGAAACACACTACCTTCTGACTTCGAACCCCCGAATCCAAGCGAAGGAGCGCCTCTGAATCATCTCGAAAACACGATCTTCATCACTTCTTCCATCCTTAGTTTAACATCAAGCTGTAGTGGTTCACCCTTGATCTTTGAGGCCAAGGGGAGAATCACTCGATCATAAAGAAAAACCCATATTACCATTATGATAACGCCAGGGTAGAAAATTTTTGGGAAATGTGTCGGTCCATGGAACTAGTCTAGAGCACCATGAAATTGGTTTCGCTCGCATTCACCCACAACATGATCCCTGTCCTCCATAATGGTAATACTTTTATTAGCGCTTTGAGCTCTTCTACTTGCTCTATTATGCAAAGTCTCTATGGGTTGACAGCTAAGCCACCGGAGGCTATGTTTGTCCATGGAGCTAACCTGGAGCAAAATCCTTGTACTCCACAATGGTAAGACCTTTAGAAGCGCTTTGAGCTCTTCTACTTGCACTGTTATGCAAAGCCTCCATGGATTGACTGTTAAGCATCATGGGTTATATCTTTCCATGGAACTAGCCTGCAGCTAGATCCCTATATGTCATAATCGTAAGACCTTTGCAAGTGCTTTGAGCTCTTCTACTTGCTCGATTGTGCAGAGTTTCCACAGGTTGACAGCTAAGACATCGGACGCTTTATCTACCCATGAAGCTAGCCTGGAGCAAGATCCTTGTACTCCATAATTATAAGACCGTGCTTTGAGCTCTCTTTTCTTTTCTTTGATAGGAATGAGTGCTTTGAGCCCTTCCATTTGCTTTATTATGCAAATTCCCCACAAGTTGACAACTGACTTATTAGGGGTTATGTCTACATAAGGAATTTTAATAATGCAAGCTCTGTCCAAAAATCTAAGGGAAGAATAAAAATTAGGAGAAGAAAAGAAGTTGGAGATGGGGAAAGGATTTTGGATGCAGAAAGGGGGTTGAGGAGGGAGAGTTACAGACGGAATGAAACTATATATGGAACGAGAAGATGACAAGTGGGGGTGGAGGCGTGAAATGAGGATTCAAGAGAGGGGAAGCGAACAAATGATTTGGGGAGATTTAGATCCAATGGTCTAAAATATATAGTTGATTAAATCCAATGGATGTAATAAAATCTAAATATGTTTAACTATTAAATTGAATTCAAATTTTAAAAAGTCAAAACGTTGGCCGATTATAGGGGCATAGTGATTGCCCGGAAAAACGAATTAAGTAGTTTAAAAGGTCAATGGGTTGTTTCATTTTATTGGATTAGTTGATAATTATTTTTTTTTTGATAAAGTTGATAATTAAAGTTTAATAGTTAATAATTATTATTATTTCTAATTTAAAATATTTAATTTATTTGATTAGAATGAAGAAGTAACATGTATTTGTAAACTTTTAAATCAGATACTTATTACTAATAATACTAAAAATTTTAGAAAAGTGAAACTACCGATATTATATTTTTTAAATGTTAAAACTTTGGAAAATGATGGGTGCATATCGGGATCCCACACCCCGGGTATGCACCCCCCATATAAACAAAAAAAAAAAAATGCCCATCACTCAGTTCAATTATTTTTTTTATGTGAGGGGTGCACACTTGGACGTGGGATCTGGGTGTGCACCAATCATAGTCTTAAAATTTTTCATGAAATTATTTAAATATTTTTAATATATCTATTTGTACATTAATTTATTAAGAATATTTTAATTTTTTATTATTAATAACATTTTAATTATTATTGTTCATATTTTAATTGTAAGATATATATTCTAAATATCTTCAATCCCAAAAATTTCGAAATAAATTTTTTTTGAAAACGAGAAAGAGGCACAAGGGCATAGTAGTTATCAAAAACAAAAATGTTACTACGTGATTATCACATAAATCCTTTAATGTTATTTTTAAAAGTATTAATTTTATTTAGTTTGATTATTAAAACAATTTTTTTTTAACAGCGAAAATGTTATTTATTATTAAACAGAATACAAGGAGTACTCCAAATCTGAGAAAACAAAACTTAATACAAGGTGTCGACACCCAAATAAAGTGTCGACACTATGTCCGTAACGAGGATTCTGGCCTCTTTTGCCAATACATCATATCACCCTGTTCAGATCAACACCCCTCACCCGGAACACCCCTCACCCGGAACACCCCAACAAACCTACGAGGCATTGATCATGTATTGACTATAGCTGAAACTACTACAGTCAATAATTGCTCAATAAACCCTTTGTGAGCCCCCATGACACAGCAATTCAACCCTTAGAAGCAAAAATCGTAGACAAGACCTCCCAGAAATCAACTACCCTCTTGTCCTACTTCTAATTCATTTGGTACCCTTCTTTTCCTGCGGCAGTCTTTCAAGCATGCTATTGGATTAATGAACCAGTCCGTTAACGTGAAGGCATACCTGTCATTTCTTGCTCTAATCCATATGAAAGACCTTAGTTGAATTAACTCAAACAGCTTCCCCGCATTTATCTCTTTGTGCTGGAATAATTTCTGATTGCGAGCAAGCCACACTGTCCACACCACCGTACTCCATATGCAATCCCATCCTTGTCTTGTCCGTGTTCCTTTACTCCATTCTCCAAAATTTTCAAATGTCTTCAAGCAATCGATGTCAAGTTTTACCTCTGCCCCCCACCATTTGGCACATGCCTCCCACAGCCATTGGGTCATCCTGCACCTTAGGAATAAGTGGGCTGCATCCTCCTCATGTTCTTCACATACAACGCACTTGCTCTCCTCCATGTCTTTAATAACCCCCCTTTTCAGCAAGTTCACCTTGGTTGGTATTCTATCTAACACTAGTTGCCAATTGAATGCCGAAACTTTGGTCGGGAGACTTGGATTCCATACTCTTTTGAATATTGAATGCCCACATGGCCCGCTTTGATCCGATGCTAATATGTGGTATGCTGATTTTGTTGAGTAGTGTCCCTCCTTGTCGTGAATCCATTCCCATTTGTCGGGCCAGCCAGGATTAACCTTTACACCCTCTATCATCCTTTCGAGATCCGCGACCTCTCCCGCTTCCCATTCGAATAGATTTCTTCTCCAAGTTAACTTCCATTCCCACGATCCACTCCTTATGCTGCCCATTTGATTGCATGAGTTCTCCTTCCCTGTTGACAGAAGATACAGCCTAGGGAATTTGTTAGCAAGGCAACCCTCCCTCCCCCAGCTATCCCACCAAAAGCTGGCTGATTTTCCATCCCCAATATTCATTCTAAATCCCTCCGACAGCCATCCTACACTTTATTCATTAACTCTATTAAGGCGGCATACATCCCTCCACCATAGGGATCCCCCTCCATTGTTTTCTTTAATCCAGTCCATCCAGTGCTTCCCGACCTTACTATATTTCGCAGAAATTATTTTCATCCATAGTCCCTCATCTGCATTTGCTAAACGTCCCCACCATTTCCCCATCAGTGCCAAATTAAACTTCCTCAGATCTCTCACTCCCAACCCTTCCTTATCTTTGCTTTTGCATACCTCCCCCCAACTTACCCAATTTATTTTCCTCTCCTCTGCCCCCTCTCCCCATAAAAAACGTCTACGAATTTTATCCATTGAAAGGAGTATACCTTTAGGGATTAAGTAGGCTGACATTAGGAACACGGGCAAAGAAGACAACACTGAGTTGATGAGCGTGATACGACCACCCATAGAAAGGAAACGGCCCTTCCAGCTAGCTAATTTCTTCTCAACAGATTGTACCATTGATTGCCACATTGATTTCCTTCTGTTGTTCCCCCCTACTGGGATTCCCAAGTATTTAAAAGGAAGTTCCTCTTCTTTACAATGCAACCTATATGCCATCTCTGTTAGCCATCTCTCCTCTACTCCCACCCCCATTAAATGGCTTTTTCCGAAATTGATCTTTAGTCCTGAAGCCAGCTCGAAGGTCCTCATAATAGCCTTCACCGCGCTTATGTTATCTTCCGATGCCTCCCCAAAGAAAACTGTGTCGTCCGCGAACTGCAAATGAGATACCATGACACCTTCGTTCCCTACCCTCACTCCTTTATATGTTCCTTTATCTACTGCCGAGGCCATTAAGCCATTCAAACCTTCTGCCACTATCAAGAACAGAAATGGTGATAGCGGGTCGCCTTGACGTATGCCTTTGCTAACCGAGAATTGACATGTTGGACTACCATTAATTAGAACAGAAACTGAGCTTGATCTTAGGCACTCCATTATCCATTTCCTCCATGTTTCATTAAATCCCAGCCTCATCATCATGTAATCCAAAAATTCCCAGCATACTTTGTCGTAGGCCTTCTCAAAATCTACCTTAAAAATGAAGCAATTCTTCCTCTTCCTTTTGACTCCATCAATGACTTCATTTGCAATGATAACCCCATCCACTAATTGTCTACCCCCAATAAACGCCATCTGCTGCTCCCCGATGACTTTGGGTAACACCTTTCGCAGCCTGTTTGCTAACAACTTTGCTAAAATCTTGTACATAACCCCTATGAGAGAAATGGGTCTATACTCTTCGATTCTCTGGGGGTTTTCGGTCTTTGGGATCAGCACTAAGAAGGATGCATTGGCTCCACGGACAATTCTACCATGTTTATGAAACTCCTGAATGAAAGCAACTACCTCCTTCTTTATATCTTCCCACATCTCTTTAATGAATCTGAAATTGAATCCATCTGGGCCTGAAGATTTGGACGAATCACAATCCCATACTGCTTCCTTCACTTCCTCCTCTGAAAAAACTCTCGTGAGAAGCTCATTGTCCGCTTGAGATACTTGCTTGAAGTTAACCCCATCAAGCTTCGGTCTCTTCCATCTTTCTTCTGTAAACAATGTTTGGAAATATCTGGCCACCTCTTCTTTAATTTTCTCCACTCCCATGGATTGTTCACCATCTATCTGTACAGAATTAATTTCACTTCTTCTCCACCTTCCTTGGATGCAATTGTGAAAGAATCTTGTATTCGCATCTCCTTCTTTTAGCCACATCTTCCTTGATTTTTGTTGCGACATCCTCTCCTTGATTTTTGTTGCGACATCCTCTCCTTGATTATTAAAACAATTAATAATTATAGGTATTAGTTAATAACCGAATTCGCCCAATACAAATGCTATTTATACAATGAATTCAAAAAACTATTACTTCTTGGTTTCTTGTTTCCTTTTTCGGATACATTATTGTGGTAGGGCTAATCATCTTCATCGCAAAAATATGGCTCATGTCTTTTCAATTTTGCCATGTTAACGGAGGGCTAGGGACTGTGGTTTTAGGTTATTTGCAATAGCTTTCTTTAGAAAGGTTGCGAACACTACTTAAAGAAAAAAAAAAAAAAAGAGTTTAGTGCCCAGCACTAAAAAATGTTGATGAAAAAATTAAAAGCCTGTCAAATAGTTATTTTGTATCACAAATAAGAGTGCTAGAAACAAAAGTTATTAACATTTTTCAGTGTTGAGGGCTGCCGTTAACCTATAACATATTTTGGGTTGTCGTTGCCCATTTTTTCCGGTGCTCAGCTGATTACCTTCCTTACTGGACGATGGACATCAACTAGTGCTCATATACACAGTGCAGGGCCATATAGCATATTTTTTTCTCCTCCAAGTCCACATTTAATACAGTCCCAACTGATTATCCTAATTACCTGCCTATAGCATCATTCTTCCTATTTTTAGCTTCAAAATTGAAACCCAAAGGGACATTTAAAAAACTCCAATTCTTCGACAGCCTTCTAATCGTCATATTCAGATAAAATAGTGAGGTTTTTTCATCAAACGCCCACCAAGCAATAATAACCTGGCATTCCTTCTTTCATTCCTTCTTTCATCTCCAACACACCTGGGGCTTTGATGATCCCCTTGACCTCTTCCGGTAATGCAAGTGTTTCCCAAAGTTCCTCAATCTCCCTCGCCATGATCAACAAATTAACACATATTCGCAAAATTCTGTTGTACGTGAACAACGAGGTCCGTTAATGACATCTGCCTCGATCTACCCAAACAGTAACACCTTCCAATCTCACAAATTGGCTCACATAGTTGTTGCCCACACATAGCCTGCATGCAGACTGCGCCATAGCAACTACACCACCAGTCACCTTCGCTCTCCAACACCCAAGGGCCTCGTGGGCGCATGCAGCAACCCATTCGTCCCCTTCCTCACGTAAAACCTCGTTGGTTTCTTAGCCTCCCACCCCTCACCAATAACCCAAGAAGAAAGGAAAGAGGAAGAGAAACACGATGGAACCCTTGCGCAAAGGGCAAAGGGCTCAAACTTTTCCACGTCGTGGTGCCCCAAAT